ACATGATGAAGTGGGCTTACTTGTTCAAGAGATTCCATTCCATCCCATCTTCTCCAGCAGATTGCCCCCTCTACCTTCCCCACTCTTTCATTTACTTTGAATCTTTCCCTATCTGCTGGTCCATTCATTACTTCCTACAAATATTCCCATCCTCAAAAAACCCTCACTTGACCCTTCCATTCCTGTTATTGTCCTATATCTGTTCTGCCCTATGCAGCTAAACTTCACAAAAAGGCCTTCTATAATAGATGCCTCTACTTTGTTTCCTCTCACTTTCTTAACTCCTTACAATCCAACTTCTAACCACATCATTCCACCAAAACTGTTGTCTCCAACATTACCAGTGATCTCTTAGTTGCTGAATCCAATGGTCTTTTCTCTATCCTCATTCTCCTTGACCTTTCTGCAACCTTTGTCATCATTGATCACTCTCTCTTCCTTTGATATTCTCTTCTCTCTAGGTTTTCAGGACACAGCTTTCTCCTGGTTCTTCTACTTATCTGATTACTTCTCATTCTCCTTTGGTCAATGTTCATCTAGATCAGAGGTTCCCAGACTTATTTAGCCTACTGCCCCCTTTTAAAAAAAAATTACTTGGCGTTCCCTGGGAAATCTACTGTTAATGGTTTTCTTAAAGAAAAATTTGCATCATTTCAAAAAAATATAAAATATATTTTTAAATGATACATCTTAAGTTTAATAATTTATTGTAAATTTGTGGGCTTTCTCCTGCATTGAAATTTTAATGATGCAATATTGAGTCATGTAACTATATAGTATCATATTGTAAACAAGTCATTACACGCACATATCCCTGCTGACGCATGCTAGACTTCCTGATAATGGAGGACAAGCTCACTTGCCAACACTTGCTTGTTAAGACTTGTCAGCAGACTTGACCACTGATTGTTTATAACTCACATTTTGTGTGTTTACTTGGAAAATAATGTAATCACTATGACTTTAACTCTATTACACAATAGATGAAACATGTATGAAGAGTTTTTCAAAGTTTTCTTATCTTGTCTTCTTTCCTTGTGCTTCCACTGTCCCCTTATTTTTTTATTCAATGACCCCCCCCATTGCACCCAAGGCTACTACTGTCCCCCCATTGTTCTAGCACCCCCTAGGGTGGTATTGTCCACTTTGGGAACCTATGACTAGATCATGACCTCTAACCACAACTGTCTCTCAATACTACTTCATTTGGTGTTTTCCTAAACTCCCATGGATTTAATTACTATTTCTATGCTGATGATTCTCAAATCTATCTCTCCTGCCTCAAACTCTCTGCTGACCTTCAATCTAGCATCTCCAACTGCCTGTCCAACAGACATCTTAAACTCAACATGTCCAAAACTGAACTCATTATCTTGTCCCCTGAATCATTCCCTTCCTGCCTTCCCTGTTACTGTTGAGGGCAACACCATCCTCCAAGTCCCTCAAAATCTGAGTCACTCTGGACTCATCACTATCTCTCATCCCCCACATCCAACCTGTTGACAAAGCCTGTATACTTCACATTTGCAAAATCTTATATCTCCCCTTCTCTCCTCTGATACTGCCACCATTCTACTACAGGCCCTTATCACCCCATGCCTGCAGGTGGCCTTGAGTCTTTCTCCACTTCAATCCACCTTCCATTCAGCAACTAAGGTGATTTTCCTGAAGTGAAGTTCTTATCATATTACCCTCCCTCACCCCTCTACTCAATAAACTCCAGTGGCCTCTAGGATCAAATACAAAATCCTATTGTTAGGCATTCAAAGCCTTTCATAAACTAGCCTCCTCCTACCTTTCTAGTCTTCTTGCACCTTATTCCCAGTCACAAATTCAATCCAGTGGGACTAGCTGTTTCACAAACAAGATACACCATTTTGTGCCCCTGGGCATTTTCTCTGGCTGTCCCTTATGCCTGGAGTGCTTTTCTTCCTCAACTCTGTCTACTGAATTCCTTTAAATTTCAAATAAAATCTCACCTCTACAGGAAACCTTTCCCAACTCTTAATTCTAGTGTCTTCCCTCTGTTAATTATTTCCTAGCCTATACATAGTTTGCATATATTTGTTTATTTGTGTCTCCCTCATTATATTGTAAGTTCCTTGAGGGCAGGGACTGTCTTTTGCCTCTTTTTGTATCCTTAGCACTCAGCACAGTGCCTGGCACATAGTAGGTGTTTAATAAATGTTTATTGATTTATGTGCTTTATCACACACAATGCTACATGCATGATATCATTTATCACGTGATAGTCATTTCATACATCATTTGTTTTACATTAAATATGCACATGTGTATAAATGTATATATATATTGTTCATATATGCGCACACACACGTATCATGCATGTGCCATTACAGAGCCAAAGGAGGGGAAAGAATGTGAGTAGTGATGACATACCATCCATATTTGGCTTAGGACACATGTGCATGTCCCTCCCCAATGAACCACAACAGAGCCAAGTCAAGTCAATAAGCATTTATGCCAGGCACTGTTTATGTCTGAGTATACAAAGTCCTGGTGATAGAAACACATATTTTTATATACAAAAAAAAAAAAGAAGATAGTTCTTGTTCTAAAGGAATTCACATTCCAATAGAGGAATACATCACAAATAGGAGAGCCAAATAGGGCCAAGGAGGAGTATTTTAGTTTGACAAGTATCAAGGATGGTAAGTGGGATCACAGGACAATTGATTAACCTGTTCTTTCCAGGAACATGAATGTTGATTTGGAAACTGTTCCTGGAACAAGAGGTAGAAAGAGTTTGTGGCAAACTCTCACTAATCAAGAGTTCAGGCTTCCAGAGTGGTGTAGGAGTGCCATCTTGTCACTTCCAGAAAGGTGTCTGATGAAGTGGTAGCAAATCTTCAAAGAGAAAAATGCCAGCTCAGGATAACAGAGATCAGCAGCATAGCAGAAACAAATCAGACCTTCTTTGAGATTCTCCTTAGTGACCCTATATGATGTCCCTAGAAAGCATATACAATATGATTTTTGAAACAAAGAGTTGCTAGTACAGTATTTTTATTTTTTCTCAAATTTAGTAAATTTGGGATATCAGGAACTGTTTGTAAAGAGGGTGTTTTCTGCTTTTTTGGGTTAACATCCACTTCAGGGGAGGTCAAATGAAATTTGTCTCTGATATTTCAACATTTTTTATTAGTGACTGGGATGATGGCATACTGACCAGATTTTTCAGATGACACAAAGCTAGGAGGTATAGCTACCACATGTAATGACAGTATAAAAATAGATTCTGAATGGCTAATGGGCAAGATCCAATAAACTGAAATAGAATATACATTTTTCTAACAAAAGTTTTAAAAAATCAGCTTCACAAGATGAGGGGCAAATGATCAGATAAGTTTATGTGAAAGAGATTTTTAGATTCTATCATCACAACAGTAAGTTGATGTAATCTTAAAAGAACACAGGAGTTGATCATTGCTATCGTACTCTGCCCTGGTCAGACTTCATCTGGAGCACTGTTCCAATCTGGATGCCACATTTTAGGAAGAACACTAATAAACTGGGGTATTCCTTAAGAATAGTGAGGAAATGAGATCATGCCACAAAAAAGATTATCTGAACTGAAGATATTCAATGAATCAAACTGTCTTGAATTTCATTTGATCCAGACAACCCTGGAAGGCAAGTGTATTATAAACTCTCCATTTTACAGATGAGGAAAATGAGGCTGACAGTTTAAGTGACTTGCCCAAGCTAACGCCGTTAATAAAAGAGGCATAATTTAAATTAAGGTTGGCCTCATTCCAAATCCAGTTCACTGTCCCCCACGCCACCTAGCAGCCAATTGTTAAGAATACCTCGAACCAACCTAAAGGAAAAGTTGGAAGTTGCTGGGTCCTTCCAAGGTATTTTAAGGAGAAAAAAAAAAAAAAAGAAAAAATATGTTCGCAGTGAAGTGCGTAGGTACGCAAACGGATGAAGAGTAGGAGTTGAATGCTATATTCCCCAGGGCTATGTGGTTCAAGTCCCAATATTTAATCAACTGTGGTCACCAATTAGTCCTATTATGAACCTCAGAGGAAATCTCTGTACGCCACCCGGAGTGGCAGTCACTCTTCTAAATTCAGTCTACGGCTAGCTAATGCATTGGGGATGTGGCTGGGGCAAGGGTATCAGACGTTTAAATTTTAGAGATCAATGAGCCTGGCTTTTACAGGACCATAGACTGAGGAAGGGAAATAGCTGGAGGGCGGGGTGCGGGAAGGATTTTGAGGTGTCGGCTATTGAGGAAGGGGATGAAGCTGCATCAGCCTGAGTGGTCAGTGCCCAGCTGGAGCCCAGAAAATAGTACAGACAACACAAGTTGAGTTTGGGTTTGGCGGTGAAAAGACAGGGTCGTGAACCGTAAGGTTTCTGACCCCAGCGGACTCCTACGGAATGGACAGAGGGGCCAGGCCAACCCCAGCCGCCCGCAGGAAAAGGCTTTTAGTATTGCTCTTCGTCTTCGCTTCTCCACTGTCTGTGACACCGCTGAGAAGGCTTTCAAGGGTGTGAGGGAACACAGTGTCCAGAGAAACATCCCGACCGGAGGCCGATGCTACAGCCAACCAAGCGCTGCGCAAGGAGGAGGAAGAGGCTGGCGACTGGCGCAACGGTCACAAAAGCAACACGCGACAGAGCAAGCAAACGTCCCACCCCGCCGCCCAGGACCGTGGTCTTCATTGGCTCGTGGTTCCGCCGCGTGACCAGCGGCCCCGGGGCTATTGGTCTAAGCGAGCCAAGGGGCGGGGTGAGGAAGTGAGGAAGACAAGGCGGCAGCTATAGATTAGGGATCCAAAGAAGGGAACGTGGGGAGGAGCGACGAGGGAGGGAGGGGGGCGGGAGGAGGGTTTCCCGGGAGGAGGCGGAGGGCCATGGCAGCGATTCGGCAGAGACGACGACGGCGAGCCCGCGCGTGGCTTTGAATGAGGCTCTGAGTAAGGCCAAGGACGAGCGCACGCGCGCGTGCCTGCGTGCGCGCGCGGCCCGCGGCAGCTCGGAGCCTCCGCCGGGCTGGCGGGGAGGGGGAGGGGCAGGTGAGTGTGCGAATCGCGCGCGCCCGCGACTGGGGGGGGTCCCCCTCCCCTCAGTCCTGCAGGCTTCCCTCTCCCTCTCCTTTCCCCACCATCCCTGCACGTCCCCTCCCCCAACTGCCCTTTTTCTTGGTCCTTCCCGCTCCTTTATTCCTTTTCGCCCCCTGTCCCCTTTACCTTCGCAAGCCTGGGGACTGGTTCCGGGTCAGGCTGACCCCCCTCCCCTTTTATCCTCCCACCCCAGGGTGAGGGTAGCTATGTCCAGGTTCGCTGCAGAGAGGTGCTAGCATCCCTAGCTCCTTTACGCAGCCCTGGGGATGGAAGGAGGCTCGTTCTTTAGGGGACACCTCACTTTGCTTCCAGCCTCCCCCATAACAAAACACATCCTCTTAAAAATGTGGGGCTGCTTTTCCCAACAGCACCCAGTGTCCCAGGACTGGCTCCCCTCTGTGCCCTCAGCCAGCTGGCCTGGCCCCTGCCAGCTGTTTCTAGTTGTGCGTCCCCTTGTTTCCTTAGCCGGGCATTCCCCTCATGTTGCGTGCACGGGCATCGATTGGCTTGTGTGGACCTGAAATGTCACTTGGTCTAGCTTCTAGCTTTCCTACTGATAAAAGTAGCTACAATAGCTCCGCAGACACTCTCCCCTTTCTCCCCCACCCCCCACTCCCCATTTTAAGGTGGGTAGTTGGGTTAAAGCAAATGGAGCTCCTGGGAGTAAAGGTGTTTGCAAATAATCACTTCGGAAAAGCTCAAAGGGCTCTTTGACTGTTGATTAAAGAACTTTAATCTTGCCCTCTTCAGATTTACGAAGATCCCTGAGGTAGCATATATTTAGTGGCTTGACTCCCTCTGTGAGTCTTGGCAAGAAACGTGGCCAGGACTGGAACGCAGGTCTCCTGAATCTACTTCCGGGAGATTAATAGACTCAGTAATTCCCTAAGTTTTTGGACTAATGGTAGCCTATTTGATTTCTTTTTTTCAATTATCATGTTTTTTCCTTTTCTTCTTTTCTCACCATACACTTGAGAGAAATAAAAATGACGGAGAAAGAGAGAAATACAGAACCCTTGTATCATAAAAACAAAGTCAGGCAAGAAATTCTCACGTTGACCATGTCCAAAAATGCGTTTCAAATTCTGTCTAATAGTCTATCATCTTTATTTGTAGGTAGCTTATTTAATTTCACAATATTCTACTCCCCTTTCTCCAAGAAGCTGTATTAACTCATTTCTTTTTTGATTTTCATTTTTTGACCTGTAAAATGACGGACATGTGTGAGTGCTACAAAAGTAGGAATGGGCTATATTGTGCTTGGTCACATAATTTCTTTAATTTGGCATAAAGGTTACAAAACCACAATATTTGAAACACAGGACATAGTGTCCAATTCATTTTATAATAAAAGTGGATTCTACTTAATGCATCTTTAACTCTGAGTTATGGGTTGGTAAATGTAGATAGAAAATACTCTGAAGTGACATTGACAGCTTAATTCTAGTTATTTTATGTGCATGCATTGATTTCTGCAGGTGGTTACCTAGGCAAAAGGTAAATTTGAACCTTCAACTTGTGATGCCATTTTTTTTTGTTTTGGAGTTGAACTTCCTTTAGTGTTACTTTCTCAGTATAACATTCGTATTGGTTTCTTAAAAGTAGAAGTGTTAACTATTTTCTAGGTGACTTATTATAGTAAACCCGGCAGAAATTTGAATTAGTAACTTTTTATTTTTTTTTACAAAGTGGCTTAAGACAAAAAATAACTTAATTGACCTGTTTTTGTCTCATTTTATAACTGGATTTCAAAAATTTCAATACAATAGTGAGCATGATTTTAGAGAGATTTTGATTTGAATGAGATTTGATAGTTGGATAGTTTGTGTCTGGCATTCACGTATATGAGTGACATGCAATACTTTGTGTGTATTAGAACTATTACTTGGAAAAGAAAACAGTGCCCGCTTTAATCATTATATAGGACTTTGTCAACAGTATATGCTTTAAATGTTGGGTTTTTCATGGAAATTACATGAGAAATATTCCAAAAGCGTGTAATAGAGTACATACTAAATAACATCTTGAGTTCTTATACTTTTGTGATCCTGACAGGTATGCTTATTGTGTGGCACATTGAAAGGAAATAGAAAATAACCCTGTCCGTCGTTGCTAGCTTCCTACAAATACTAAAGCAGCTTTTGAGGGTTTTAAAATCCTGTTGATTACTTAGCACAATTCTACTATTTCTGCTATACGCAAGATTTCCGTGTACATACAAATAGAACAAAATATGTTTCAGCTTAATTCAGACCATTTTATGAGTGTCAACTATATGCTTAGTAACTGTTTGTATATATCTTATTGATTGTGGAATGATGACAATTTTTTTCCCCTTTTTGTAGAGTCCTAAATTTTAGAGTTAGTGCCAAAAAGTTTTGGAGCGTAAAGTTTATCATAGTGTATTTTAAAGAAAATAAAATTCTGTATCTTTAATGCTAGCAAAGAAGTATGAATGGGTAGCACAAACTGGAGTTTTTTGATAAGATGGCTTGTGCTGAAGTATTCACAGACCACATGATGCTTTTGTTATATTGCACAATTCAGCATACCAAATATATTAAAGATAGGGACTTGATTTGTGATATCATTGGCTTAGAAAATTCTTGTATAAGGAAGGAAACTACCTTAACCAATGCAGGTCAGCACCTTTGATGTTGACTTTTATTTAGAGACTTGCCTAGAGCAATGAAAGGCTAAGCGAATTGCTAGGGGTCAGTTAGGCAAGACTTGAACTAAGTTAACCTGTCTTCCAGACCAACTCTATCCACTTTGCCATGCTGCAAAATTTTGTTATTGCCACCAAATTCAATGGTGGCATCTTTAATGATAAAGATGAAATTGGCATGGAATGAGGAAATTCTTGATCGTTTGGGAAGCAAAGTATGGGGAAAAAAAGATACCTGTATTACTTGTATTTTGCCATCAGTAACAATTCTCATTTCCAAATTGGTTTCAGTAGGTAAACACAATTTAGCTATATGACCAGTTCACTCTTTAGTTCTGGTTATTTAATTTATCAGATATTTCTTGAATGTGAACTAATAGAGAGGAAGCAGTGAAAAGGCATAGTTGAAAGAACAGTGAATTTGAAGTGAAATTTTCTCACCTAATTCCATATCTAAATACCTGGGCCAGTCATTTAATGTCTTTGTCTTTTGTCTAATGTCTTTATCTTTACAGGGTTGTTTTAAAGCAGTACTTTTTGATTTTTAAAGTACTGAAGAAAAGAGTTGTATTTTTATTTATAGATATCAGACCTATTGAGAGGGAGGGGGTACTTTTCATTTGTAGGGATTACCAGGGTGGTTTTGTAGAGTAGAGGTCATAGGATCATAGATTTAGAGGTTGAAGGTACCTTACTGTTCATCAAGTCTAATTCTCTCATTTTACAGTTGAGGAAACTGAGGTTCAAAGAGGAGAAATGAATTGCCTTGGGCTATACAGGTGGTCCAGTGCTCTTCCTGAAATGTGATGTAACTTGACTTTGTTATGGCTTCTTCTATAACCTCCTCAAAAATCATGAACATTGCATCACGCCCTTTAATTCTTGCTACTCAAGCACATAGCGCTCTTCATTGCATTTCTGTCTTTTCAAAGCTACCCTGCTCTAGATGTAGCTCTGTCCCCCATTCAGAATTCCAGTTGCTTGTTTGCAGCTGCTTTCTGCTAGCTTTCATCAGGCAAGAAATCCCTTTAAAATAATGGATTTAAGATATGAATGACTCTTAAGCTGTTTTTGCATTTTCATTTTTTCTTTTTTTTTTTTAAAGCAGAGACTTTTTTCACCCCAGTTCTGAATTCTCTCCCTCCCCTCCTCACTCAATGAGAAGGCAAAAGAAATAAAACCTATTACAAATATGTATAGTCATACAAAACAGATTTCTGCATTAGCCATGTTGTTCCCCCCCCCCAAAAAAAGAAGAAGAAGAAGAAGGAAGGAAGAAAAAGAAAAAAAAAATACGGTTCTATCTTCTCCCTTGAGTTCATTGGTTCTTTTTCTGGAGTTTGATAACATATTTCATCATGAGTCCTTTAGAATTGTAGCAGGCCATTGCACTGATCAGAATTACTCAGTTTTTCAGGTTCCATTACTGTTACAATATTGCTATTACTGTGTAGATTGTTCTCCTGGTTCTGCTCAGTTCACTTTGTATCAGTTCATATAGATCTTCCCAGGTTTTTCTAAACCATTCCCTTCATCATTTTCTTATAACACAATAGTATTCCATTATATTCAAATACCATAACTTGTTTAGCAGTTCTCCAGTTGATTGAGATTCCTCAGTTTCCAATGTTTTGTCACAACAAAAAGAGCTTTGCTTAAAGTGTGTGTGTGTGTGTGTGTGTGTACATCTCCTTTCCTTCTTTCTTTGGTCTTTTTGGAGTAAAGCCTAAGTAGCAATATTGCTAGGTTAAATGCTATGTACAGTTTGGAAATAGTACCAAGTTGCTTTCCATAGTGGTCTGACTAGATCACAGCTTCACCAACAATATAATAATGTGCCTGTTTTACCATATCCCCTCCAGCATTTGTCATTTTCCTTTTTTTGGTCATCTTAGCCAATCTTTGGGCTGTGAGGTGGTATCTCAGAATTGCTTTAATTTGTGTTTTTCTAATAGAGATTTGGGCAGGTGGTACAGTGCTATACAATGCCGGAATCAGGAAGACTCATCTTCCTGAGTTCAAATCTGGCCTTAGACACTAGCTGTGTAACCCTGGGCAAGTCACTTAACCCTGTCTGCCTCATCTATAAAATGATCTAGAGAAAGAAATGGCAAACCACTCCAGTATCTTTGCCAAGGAAACCCCAGATAGTGTCATGAAGAGTAAGACATGACTGAACAACAAATAGAAATTTAGAGCTTGTTTTTAATACGACTAGTTATAGTTTTAATTTTTGAAAACTGCCTGTTTGACTCTTTTATCAGTTGGGGAATGGCTCTTATTG